TCAAGTAATCCGCCGCCAACAAAGAACCATCGATTATCAAGAAAAGCTACTGCTTAGTTAGGGTTTAAGCTTTTTTTAAACTGATCGACATAAACTGTAAGACAAACAAAAGCACTTTTACAGAGCCATAGTAAATAAAAGAACTCAAACTTGCCTTAACTTCAGAATTAAGCATTTCTTGATGTGTGACCGCTTCAGCGCTGTCTTTGGCGCTGTCAAAACGAAGTGATGCTCTCGCTGTCCTCGTACTCTGTGTTTCCCTCGTCGAAATTTTAGGCTGTTCGCGACCGCTAGACTCTTCTGGCTCTCCATCTTCAACGTCGGCATTCAAACATTTTTCTGTTAGGCTTGATTTTTGCCTTTTCGAGCCTGTTCTCAAAGTTCCCGGTGAATCAACGGGAAGTCTCTTCTCTGTTTGTGTCTTGCCCGAACTTTCGTGTTTCTTTCTTAGTTCTTCTAATAAAGAGTTAATTACTGTTTCTTTCGATACAATGGAGTCTATTCTTCTCACAATTTCTACATAACCTTTGTGAATCGTTTGTCAATGGAAGGTGACCAAGAACTCGCTTAAGTCCAGACTCACAAGAGCGAACATTGAAATAAGCTGTAAGTCCATTTAGTGCAAAATTAATACCACAGACATAGCAGACATCGTTTCTTCTTGTTCCATACCTTTTCACGGGGGTTTTCGGTGAAGATATACAATGAGATTTACTAGGAGAAGTGTTTGTCTTCGAGCGCCGCATTTCTCAATATATTCGCGCCAAAACCTCTTCGCGCGATTACAAATTGATTGACGTTTGACATACGTCATGCTACGTCACACTCGCGCATGCTCAACGGGATAGTAATCGGAAGTAGGCAGAGGTTATTTTTCTCTCGCTTTTCGGCGGGTGAGAAAAGAACCTCTGTTCGCAGAGTAGTCTCAACTTGTGTTTACTTTCTAAAATAACAAAATGGACGTATAATATATAATGTTAATAAAATACTTACCGGCAAATGAAAACATCCAATGACATCTCCATATTGGTTTCAACGGTAATGTTCACCAATTTKGRYGTGGTTGCATTCGAAGATATCCAAAAACACATTGTAAATGACTCAATGTTCGGTTTGGTTGGGATAATAAAATGTGCAGTACCATTTAACAACACATCTATGCCAGGCTGTAGACCCTGAAGTTGGTTGGCTAGATAGAAATAAAGCACAAAATGTTTAATAAAATTAGCTAACAGCAAATATTTAAAGTATAGCAAAGTATGCAGTCCCCTCAGTAACCTTATCAGTTTATTGAGTTATGATTCGTTAGTTTTGTATTCAGGTTTACAGTGAATGCCAAACATCAAACGTATCACGTGACCACTGCTGCATTTGTGCATTAATGTGTGTAAATCAGTTATATGATGGTTTTCTCGTACACAAGTGCATCATTATTCCTTTCGAAGTTTTCTTCGTTTTTGGATTGTTTGATATATGCCTACGTAAAGCTAAAACTCTCTATACTATTCGAGAAAACCCGGCATGCAATGATTACAGGGTATTGGCACCGAAACTAATGCTGATTCAATGAGTTATCTAAGGGCAAAGTTATCGTTCGAGATTATTATATCTGTACACTTATAATTATTAAAATGATCACAAGATTAGGCTCAGCCGATTTCGCTAAACTTTTTACAATCGAGTAGTCATAT